CGCGAGATGCCATGCATATGGCAGGATGGCCGGCATCCCTGGCCATGGTTCCCTAAAAGGCGGTGGTGCTCCCCGCCCTTTGTGACTGTGAGGTGCCGAACATTCCCAAAGGCTCCCTATGGCCCAGGACCTCTTCCCAGAGGCGAGGCTGCTGCAGGATGTGGCTCAGAGAGCTGGGGAGCCGCCCTGAGGACCAGCTTGTTTCTCCACCGAAGCAGCTCTGCAGGTCCTGGACAAATGGGCGGGAGATGCTAGTCTACTTTTCTGGGGACGCGTCAGTTTCTTTGTTCCGATTCAGATTTCCCCTTTTTCCCGACAAAAGTTTTTTGAGAAAGGAAAAGGAGGCCCGAGGGACCCCATCCATGAAAGCCAATGCCAGCCAGCAAGGCCCTTTCTGGACAGACCCCCGCTGCAGGGGAGCCCCGGGACCTGGCTCCCAGCAGGTCAGCAAGAGGGCGCCCTTCTCTGTGCGTCTTAACTGGTGAGATGCCAGGTTTATTCCTCCGTGCTCACCGGGAGCCTCTGTGTTTTGAGACCCTTTTCTGTGTTTTTGTGGAAAAGAGGAGATGGCTGTAAAGTCAGCTTCCATGGTTAAGCCAGCAGAATGTGTGGCTGGCTTTGGTCCTTTACCAAAGCAACGTTTGCATGGAGGTTGTACATGGAGGGAGGTATTCGCTTCCAGATACCACCCCCTGAAAATCTCTGCAGGTGGCCAGTTTTAGCCTGCAGGTCACAAAAGGAGAAAATATCTCATGTGGTTATGGATGTCACCTTAAAAAATGATGTGCAAGGAAACAGCCTCTGTCATCCACGCTACTTTCTTCTCTAATCTGGGGTCAATAGAGATGCTTGGGACCTGGTTTAGAGGGTGAGGGGTCATGTCTGACATGGGCCTTGCCCGGAGCTTGAGTTCTCAGTGTCACTTTAATAAGCCGTACCATCCTCTGCCTTCACGACGAAGTCTGACCTGTTGCAGCTCCTTCCGTGGGAGCAGAAGGACTCTTCTTGTTTCCCTCCCACCTTTGAGAACACCACAAGGGAAGAGGAGAGGCATATTTCTTAATTAAGAATTGTCCTTGAAGGAGCCCCTCATGAAGAAAAGAGAAAACATCCTAATTACCAACAGCAAAAATCTTCTGGCAATCAAAATGCCCACATGAGCATGACTTGACTTAGCAAATGTGCATTGGGAAAACCATATTGTTTGCTTTCTAAAAAGAAATACTTTTAAGTTTTATTTTAAATCTTATCAGTAAAACTGATTCTTTTCTTTTTTTTTTTCCTGTTGGTATACCATTCTAGGAATTTTAACACAGGTATAGATTTGTGTGCTCATTGCCATGATCAGAGCACAGAACAGTTCAACTGCTTCCTCTGCCCCAGTGCCTGGAAGCCGCTCATCTCTTCCCCGTCCCTACAGTATGTCAGAGAGTAGGTGGCCTTCTAAGACTAACTTTTTTCACTCAGCACAATGCCTTTGAGATCCATGCAATGTCTTCTAAATGTCCGTAGATTGTTCCTTTTAATTGAGAAACAGTATATCATTGTATGGATGGACCACAGTTTATCCATTTACTGATTGAAGAACATTTGGGTTGCTTCCAATTTTCGGCAATTATGAACAGAGCTGTGGGAAATGTTTGGTTTTGTTAGACCATAACGTTCATTGTTCTAGAGTAGATACTCAGGAATAAGATTGCGGAGACGTGCACTAAACATATATGTAACTTCCTAAGTCACTGTCAAGCTGTTCTCCAAAGTGTCAGTGCTGTTTCGTCTCCTCAGCAGCAGTGCGTGTATTCCTTCCGGCCCCTCTGCCTCCTCGGCAGCACTTGGTGCTCCTGGTGCTTTTAATTTTAGCTGTTCTAATGGGCTTGTAGTTATAGTTCATCATGTTTTTAGCTCACCTTTTCCTAATGGCCAGTAATTTTGAATATCTTTCCATAAGCTTATTTCACATCCTGTATCCTCTTTGAAGAACTACTTTTACATCTTTTGCCCATTTTTAAATTGGTTTGGTTTTTTTTCTTATGGTTGAGTTTTGAGAATTCTTTATTATGCATACAAGTTAGATATGGGATTTGCAAATATTATTTCCCAGGTGTCAGCTTATTTTTTTATTCTCTACAGAGTGCGCAAATTTTTGATTATCATGAAGTTAAGTTTTTTTTTTTTGTTTGTTTTTGTTTTTAAATGGAGTAGGCTTTTTGTGCCATGTCTAAGAACTTATCACTCAACCCAAGGTCATGGATTTTCTTCTAAAAGTTTTATACTTTTAGATTTAGTTCTGTGATCCATTTTGAGTTGACTTTTGTATAAAGTATGACATTCAGGTCAGAGTTTGATTTTTTGCCCAAGGATTTTTGATTATTCCAAACATTGTTGAAAAGACTGTTCTTTCTCCATTGAATTGTTTTTGCATCTTGTCAAAACTCAATTGGTCATGTTTGCATGGGTCTGTTTCTAGATTCTCTATTCTGTTCCATTGATCTATGTGTTTGTCCCTTTGTAGTACTACTTAGCCTTGATTACTGTAACTTGTCTTAAAATTGGGTAATTTGAGTCTTTCAATTCTATTCTCTTTTGGAATAGCTTTAGCTATTTTATATTCTTGTACCTTTGACCCTCCATATAAATTTTAGAATCAGCTTGTCTGTATCTACAAGAAATCTTGTTGAGATTTTGGTATTATGTGGAATCTGTAAGTTAATTTGAAGATAATTAACATTTTTACTATGTTAAATTTTTCTGCCAACGAACATAATATTTCTCTCTATTTAGGTCTTTGATTTCTTTCAACAGAATTTTATAGAATTTACATACAGATTCTATACATGTTATGTTATATTTATACCTAAGTATTTTATTTTTGAAACTATTGTGAATATTATGAATTATTAAATTTCAGTTTTTAGTTGTGCAATGCTAGTTGTGTTAGTTCCCTCTGATTGCTGTAACAAATTACCACAAACTTGGAGTCTTAAAGCAATAAAAATTTATTTTCTGACACTCCTAGAGGCCAGAAGTCTGTAATCAACTTTAAGTCAAAATCAAGGCGGGCAGGGCTGGGTTCCCTCCAGAGGCTCCGGGGAAGAATCTCCCCGTTGCCTCTCCAAACGTCTCGTGACTGCCAGCGTCCCTCGGCCGCGGCCCCGTCACTTCGCGCCCTACCCTGCCGTCGTACCTCTTCTCCTCTGGGTCAGACCTTCCTCTGCCGTGACCTCGTCATCCCAAGGTCCTTTGACTCCGCCACGTGGGAGCCAACACTCACAGGTTCCAGGAATCAGCAACTAATATCTCTGAGGACATTTTGCAGAGTACTGCAGTCGTGTTTAGAAATCAAGATTTTGTGTGTGTGTGAGATTTTGTGTTGATGTATTTTGCAGCCTTAGTGCTAAACTTTCTTATTCTAAGAGTTGTTTTGAAAGATTCTTTGGGATTTTCTTTATAGATAATCATGCCATCTTCAAATAGGGACACTTTATTTCCCATCTGTATGACTTATTTCTTTTTGCCTTATTACGTTGACTAAGACTTCCCATGCAGTGCTGAATAGGTGGTGAGAGTGGGCATCCTTGCCTTGTGCCTAATCTTAGGGGAAAACAGTCAGTCGTTCACCATTAAGTGTGATGTGAGCTTCTGTTCTTTGCTGAGGTTTTTGTCTTTATCACGGATGAATGTTGAATTCTGTCATACGATTTTCTACATCCATTGATATAATCATCTCTTTTTCCTTCTTTAGATTATTAATGATATAGATCACATTCATTGATTTCTAATATTGAACTAGCCTTGCACTACTGGTGCAAATCCTACTTCATTGTGGTGTATTATTATTTTTTTACATTCCCAGTTTTAATTTGGAATACTTGGTTGAGGATTTTTATGCTTATGTTTATTAGAGATATTGGTCTGTAGTTTTCTTTTCTTATATGGCCTTTGTCTGGTTTTGGTATCAGGATAATTCTGGCCTCATAAAAATTTCTGTTTTTCCCTCTTCTTTTTTATGGAAGACATTGTGGAGATTTGGTGGTGTTTCTTTTTTAAATGTTTCATAGAATTTGCCAATGAAATCATCTGGACCTGATATAATTCTTTTCCAGAAGATTTTAAACCACAAATTTATTTTCTTTCATAGTTATATGATTATTCTGGTTGCCTATGTCATTTTGAATGACTGTTGGTGTTTGCAGTTTTTGACAAGTTGGCCCACTTATCTAAGTTGTAAAATATATATCCAGGCAGTTGTTCATAATATTCTGTTACTGTTTTTGTGATATCTGCAATATCAATAAGTCATTTCCCCTTCCTATTTTCTGGTCATTTGTGCCTTCTTTCTTTTTTTCTTTGCCAACCTTGCTAGTGATTTATCAATTATATGGATATTTTCAAAGAATCAGATTTTGGTTTTATTGCTTTTCTCTACTTTTTTCTTTACTGTTTCTAATTTTATCAATTTCTTACCTTTATCATTTCTTCCTTTTGTTTGCTTTGAGCCTATTTTGCTCTTCTTTTATCCTAGGTTCTTAAGGTAGAAGCTCAAGTTATTTAAAACTTTTCTTCTTTTATAATATAAACATGTAATGCTGTAAATTTTCTTACAAGCACTACATTGGCTACATCTGACAAATTAAAAAATGTATTTTCATCTTATTTCAAAATATTGTTTAAATATTGAAATATACTCTGTGATTCATTGATTATTTGTGTGTTGTCTAATTTCCAAGTTTTTGAGATTTTCTTATTACATTTTTGGTATTGCCTCCTAGTTTAATTCCATTATGACCTAAAACATACTTTGCATAGTTTCAATCCTTTAAGTGTGTGAAGGTTTTTTTTGTGACTCATGATATGTTCTGTCCTGGTGAATGTTTGGTTGTTTGGATGCTGGGTTTTCTTTGAAAGGGGCCATACCTCCAAACTGGGCCCACTTGTTTGCTTATTCACTCGAGACTCGCTGGAAAAGCTGTCACTCACAGCCTATGCTTTGCTTTGTCTAGAACATCCAGGACGTGAGGAGTGATGATGAGGAGGAGTATGAAGAAGAGGAAGAGGAAGAGGAGGAGGAGGAGGAAAAGGAAGAGGCCACCAAAGACAAAGAGAGAGACTGTTTGAAGAATGGACTTGGGGCCAACAGGAACCTCATTCCCAACGGTCAGCACGGCCGTTAGCGTGGCACTCGCGCAGGCCCCGGGCACAGCGTGTGGCGAGGGCTGCTGAGAGCCCACAGGAGCCCCAGGGACCCCAGACCCTGCCCTTCCTCTTTCTAACCACCCCTTAAGATGTATTTAACAAAATGTTGTTGAATTGTGTTAAACTGTTAAATATAAGTGTTTCCATGGATTTACTGCAGTTAGGACTCAGACTGGTCAAAGATTTCACAGAGTTCTCCAGAGAACTGCTTTGGTCCTAATTGTGTTCATTCATTGGAGACGCTGGGTGTTCAGGAACTCACCTTGCCCCCAGGCCTTTCACCTTCCTGCCCGGCCCGTCCTCAGGCGGCGTGAGAAGTGCGGAGTTAGCCCACTTTCTCCAGGTGCGTTTGGCCACAGAGAGCAGCTTGTTTCGCAGTGAGTTAGAGGTGGCAGTAGAACAGGGAGAGAAGGACCAAACCGGGAGACCAGGCTCCTAGGCTCATGGGCTACTTCCTGTCCTGGGCTTTTTAAACCCTTCCGCGCCTTGGTGCTTCATCTCTCCAGTGGGAATAATAGGATGTCCCGCCCTGTCACAGGGCTGGAGCAAGGATCAAGGGCGATACAGGGAGTGAGAGTGCCTACCGTCAGCTGTGGTGGTATTGTCACCTGACCCTCTTTTCACTACTGTTCCAGCTCTGTTTGGGAGACAGAACCCTGGCTGAGCTTGGCATTGCATGGCCTGAACGGACATACACTGTCTTAAAAGAATTCCCATTAAATGTGTCTGGAGATACCTGGAAATGCCAATACCCAGAAGGCTGTTCCCATTTTATTCGGTAACTATTTATTTATCAGTTCCCCGAAGGGTTTTCTCCAGTTCCCTTGGAGGTCTTCCCCCTCAGGCCCGAGGGCCCAACGGAGGGAGTTTGGACCCTCTGCCTTCTAGCTTTGCGCTGGTCTCTCATTCTTTTCTTTAAAAAGGGGAAGCTTTCTTGCTGCTGCCCCAGCCCCTCCTTCCGGCCAGCAGAGCTACCCAGCATGCCCTAGGGCCCCCGGGGGCCTGTCCAGGGCGTCGGACAGGCCAGGTTGCTCACTGAGCCATTATCGCCCAGAAAGCCTGGGCGCACTGCTTCTCCACTGCTATCGGCCCTGCAGGCCGGAGAAGAGTAAAACGAAAAACGGGCTGGAAACACCCCTAAGACTGTCCGAGGACAGGGCCTAGAGTCGGGGGCAGCCCCTGGGGCCACCTGCGTCTCTGGGGGGATGGAGAGGAGCTGCGGGCCGCGGGGCTGCCCTGGGTCCCCACCGGGGGCGCCGCTCCTGCGCCCAGCAGCCACCCTCAGGGACGCCTTAGGTTTCTGCGGACCCAGGAGAGACGCAGCCGGGCAGAGGAAGAGCCCGAGCAGAGTGTGCCCCCCGCCCCGCCCCCCGCCAGCCTTCTGTACTTTTCGGTCACACTGTGCACCTTCGTCTTGTCTCACTCAGGGCCCGTAGTTAAAGCCAAGGGAGAGCTAGGACTGTGGGACCCAGCAAGGCGCACGGGCTCCACCGGCGCGGGCTGTGGCCCCGGAGCAGGACGGCACTCTGCACAGTAAAGGTATCTGGTGGTGCTTTGGGGTTTTTTTTCCTAAAAAGATGTTTTTGAAACCTTCAGGCTAAAGCAAAACCAAAACTGAAACCCTTCAGAATTCTTTCCCCAACAGAATGCCCTTTTGAGGACTCGTTAGAATAAGCTGAAAAACGTGTCAGGTTTTCTCTACATAATATTTGCTTTTCTGAGTACAATGCATTCTATGTATACTGTTATATTATAAAGTGCCTCCCCTCCCTTAAGGGCATATCTGTTGAATTATTATTAATATTATCATTTTTTGGTGGAAGAAGCACACACTACGGTTTTATTTTTAATGTTTTTAGGTAGCAGAGTACTTCTTCTTTGATTTCTTTTTGGTCTCATCACTTGTCGTCTTAAAGTAAAAAAAAAAAAAAATTGCTTATTTGCTGCTCTACCCTCCAGTTCTTTCTTTTCTTACTTGAATGTTGAAGGTGAAGTTGATATGCCAATTTCCACCATCCCTGATAGAGCCAGCGCACTAAACTGCCTCTCCGGAGGTAGAGGAGCGTGCTTGCGACATCCTTTAGGGCGTTTGTGGTTGACTGTAAAGTAACCTCTCTTTCTGTGGGGAACGGGGCTCCTGCTATGCCAGATGACTTTATACAAATGCAGCTAACCCTGCCACCGGTGTCGCTGTAACGGTAATGACTTACAGTAAAACAAAGACAGGATCTAGCCGGCAGGGGGCCTGGGCAGACTCGGCACACGTTGCTTGGCTTCTGAGAGATCGTCAGCGGTCTCGCCTTAGTTGTGGAAACCACCTTCACGTCCTCTAGAAGCGCCCTGCCCCCAATCAGAGGGCACAGAGCCAAGTTAGGACGTTAGGGCCGTGGGCCTTGGGGAGCCAAGCACCCCAAGACAGGCGGTGGGTTGGTCTTGACGGAGGTGAGCCTCTTGGCTCTGTGTAGTGTAGACAGACAGACGCCCAGGGGCTGGAGCCTGCCCTGGGCCGCGGCCCCTGGGCCCTGGGGCACAAGCACTGCTGAGGCGCTAAGAAAGAGGGCTGATCCTAAAGGTGTTTTCTCAGCCACCTTTTCTGTACCAACCTTTCAAAGGTAGAGGAAGAAGTAGGGCCTAGATTGATGGTTCAGCTGGCTGGTCAGCAGAATCGCCTATGGAGCTTAAAGCACGCCTCGCCGTTTCTGTGCCCTGCTGCACGTTTTGATTCGGGACTTCTGGGGTGAGAAACAGAAACCTGCATTTTAACCAAGGCTGGTCCTTCTGAAGAGCAGCCAGGAGGCTGCGTGCCCCGCCCCCCGCTTCTGTTCCCACCAGCAGTGCCAGAGCAGACAGGTGGGGAAATGCCACGACATAGGCCATGGACCCCAAAATAAACCCGTCACGATAGATACAGATAAAGCAGACGTTGAACAGATAATAAGAGAATAGTATGAGCAACTTAAGTCAATATAGTTGAAGGTATAAATAAAATATGTAAGTTTCTAGAGAAATACAACCTGACAAAATGAGCACAGGGAGAAATAGCTATCTCAATAGTCTTCTATAGAAAATAAAATGAAATCTGAAATGATAAAATTGGCCTCCTCCCACAAAAAAAATCTTTAGGCTCAGATGGCTGACCCAGTGAATTCTTCCAATATTTAAGGGGGCACTAACACAAATATTACACAAACTTTTCCAGAGACAAAAGGAAGGAACACTTCCACACTTGTTTTATAAGACAAGTATAACCTTGGTACTAAAAAATATGAAAAGAATATTAAGAGGAAAAAGAAAAAACCAAGACAAAGGCTAACTCATTCATGAACATAGGTATAAAATCCCTAAACCAAAGCAAACTGAATTCAGCAATAAGTAAAGAAGATAGTGCATAGTAAAGAGTTGGGTTTATTTCAGGAACTTGTGTTTGATTCGCTATTTGAAAATCAATGTTATTTACCATTTAAGAAGAATAAATGAATAGTCTTACCTTCAAAAACCTTAGATAAAATTCAACATCAATTCATTAAAAAAACATAATCTTATGGATAAGTAGGAACTTTCTTAATCTGATAAACAGCATCTTCAGAAGGCGTAAAGCCGGCACCATGGAATGCTATAATAGCAAAACATTGAAAGCTTCTTCCCGGGGATTGTCACTGAGACAGAGATGTCCACGATCTGCAAGGACGCCCATCATCCTGAATATAGTCAACACTGAATTTCTCAAACTAGCCAATATAATATTTCAAGAAATAAAAATTACAAAACTCAAAAGGAATAAATGAAAACTGTTATTACAAATGTAAATGCAAGCCCCCCACACACACATTGCGTGCGTGCGTGTGTGTATGTGTGTGTGTGTGTGTAATTTATGCAGAAATGCCAAGGAACTAGACTGGCCAAGACGATCTTAAAAAGAACAAAATGGGAGAACTTATTCTACTAAATATCAGGACTAACCATAAAGAGGCAGACAGCAAAGCAGGGTGAAATTGGCATAAGAATAGAAAAATAGAAGAAAAAAAGATTGTATAACGTCCTGAAACAAACTCATGCACCTATGGACAGTTGAGTAGCTTTAAGAATAAAAATTAAACTTGACCCCTCTTTAACACCATACCCAAAATAAATGCCAGTTTTTTTGCACCTCTAAATGTGAAAGGTAAAAATATATAAGCTTCAAAGGGAAACATAAGAGGACATCCTCATGACCTTAAGATAGGCAAAGACTTCTTAAGCAAACCAAAATTTAAAGCAGTATCCAAATGGAAAATATTAATGAGTCAGATTAAACGATAATAAAAACCTCTCTTTCTCAACAGATACCATTTAGGGAGTGAAAAGGCAAGCACAGAGTAGGAGGAAATATTTGCAACATTTACAACTGACAAAGGGCTCATATCCACAACGTGTAAAGAACTCCTACCAGAAAAAGAAGAAATACTGACAACCCAATTTTAAAAAATGAGCAAGGCACTTAGACACTATAGAAAACACTGTATCTAAATGTCCAGTATGGAAAGTCGCTCAACATTAGAAGGACAGCTGGTTCCAAATGGCTGTCACATGGGACAATTGGAAGTCACACAGTGCCGTAGGAGTGCAGGTATAGTCACTTTGAAAAAGGGTTTGTCATCCTTCCCTAAAGTTGGACGTATGCGCACACTACAACCCCGCAGCTCCACTCCCAGGTACAGGCCGATAGGCATGCACAGGAATGTTTCTATCAGTGATGTTCCGAGTAGCCTGAACCGGACACTTCCCAAACATGCCTTGACAGTAGCACAGAGCAGCAAAACCTGTGGGGTGTTTATACCATGAAATACCACAAAAATGAACACGCTGGGACTTGCGACAACGCGGCTTCTTCTTGCGATCTCGATGTTTTGCATAAGAATCGAATGCAAAATGAATACATACTTAATGACTTCAGCGCTGTTGCGGTGAAAGTCTAGGTAGCAGCTGCCGAGGGGAGAAG